TAGGATAACAACACAGGTAAAACATGTAGGATAATAACACAGGTAAAACATGTAGGATAACAACACAGGTAAAACATGTAGGATAACAACATAGGATAACAACACAGGTAAAACATGTAGGATAACAACACAGGTAAAACATGTAGGATAACAACACAGGTAAAACATGTAGAATAACACAGGTAAAACATGTAGGATAACAACACAGGTAAAACATGTAGGATAACAACACAGGTAAAACATGTAGGATAACAACACAGGTAAAACATGTAGGATAACAACACAGGTAAAACATGTAGGATAACAACACAGGTAAAACATGTAGGATAACAACACAGGTAAAACATGTAGGATAACAACACAGGTAAAACATGTAGGATAACAACACAGGTAAAACATGTAGGATAACAACACAGGTAAAACATGTAGGATAACAACACAGGTAAAACATGTAGGATAACACAGGTAAAACATGTAGGATAACAACACAGGTAAAACATGTAGGATAACAACACAGGTAAAACATGTAGGATAACAACACAGGTAAAATATGTAGGATAACACAGGTAAAACATGTGGGATAACAACACAGGTAAAACATGTAGGATAACAACACAGGTAAAACATGTAGGATAACACAGGTAAAACATGTAGGATAACACAGGTAAAACAGGTAAAACATGTAGGATAACAACACAGGTAAAACATGTAGGATAACAATACACAGGTAAAACATGTAGGATAACAACACAGGTAAAACATGTAGGATAACAACACAGGTAAAACATGTAGGATAACAACACAGGTAAAACATGTAGGATAACAACACAGGTAAAACATGTAGGATAACACAGGTAAAACATGTAAGATTACAACACAGGTAAAACATGTAGGATAACAACACAGGTAAAACATGTAGGATAACAACACAGGTAAAACATGTAGGATAACAACACAGGTAAAACATGTAGGATAACACAGGTAAAACATGTAGGATAACAACACAGGTAAAACATGTAGGATAACAACACAGGTAAAACATGTAGGATAACAACACAGGTAAACCATGTAGGATAACAACACAGGTAAAACATGTAGGATAACAACACAGGTAAAACATGTAGGATAACAACACAGGTAAAACATGTAGGATAACAACACAGGTAAAACATGTAGGATAACACACAGGTAAAACATGTAGGATAACAACACAGGTAAAACATGTAGGATAACAACACAGGTAAAACATGTGGGATAACAACACAGGTAAAACATGTAGGATAACAACACAGGTAAAACATGTAGGATAACAACACAGGTAAAACATGTAGGATAACAACACAGGTAAAACATGTAGGATAACAACACAGGTAAAACATGTAGGATAACAACACAGGTAAAACATGTAGGATAACAACACAGGTAAAACATGTAGGATAACAACACAGGTAAAATATGTAGGATAACACAGGTAAAACATGTAGGATAACACAGGTAAAATATGTAGGATAACAACACAGGTAAAACATGTAGGATAACACAGGTAAAACATGTAGGATAACAACACAGGTAAAACATGTAGGATAACAACACAGGTAAAACATGTAGGATAACAACACAGGTAAAACATGTAGGATAACAACATAGGTAAAACATGTAGGATAACAACACAGGTAAAATATGTAGGATAACAACACAGGTAAAACATGTAGGATAACAACACAGGTAAAACATGTAGGATAACAACACAGGTAAAACATGTAGGATAACAACACAGGTAAAACATGTAGGATAACAACACAGGTAAAACATGTAGGATAACAACACAGGTAAAACATGTAGGATAACAACACAGGTAGGTAACACACATGTAGGATAACAACACAGGTGAAACATGTAGGATAACAACACAGGTAAAAGATGTAGGATAACAACACAGGTAAAACATGTAGGATAACACAGGTAAAACATGTAGGATAACACAGGTAAAACATGTAGGATAACAACACAGGTAAAACATGTAGGATAACAACACAGGTAAAACATGTAGGATAACACAGGTAAAACATGTAGGATAACAACACAGGTAAAACATGTAGGATAACAACACAGGTAAAACATGTAGGATAACAATACAGGTAAAACATGTAGGATAACAACACAGGTAAAACATGTAGGATAACAACACAGGTAAAACATGTAGGATAACAATACAGGTAAAACATGTAGGGGAACAACACAGGTAAAACATGTAGGGGAACAACACAGGTAAAACATGTAGGATGACAACACAGGTAAAACATGTAGGATAATAACACAGGTAAAATACGTAGGAGATTAATACAGGCAAACAAGTAGAGGAAAGACAGGTAAAACTGGTGGGAGAAAATCACAGGTAAAATAGGTCGGAGAACATCACAGGTAAATCAGATGGGAGAACGAAACTGGTAAAATAGGTAGGAGAACATCACAGGTAAATCAGATGGGAGAACGACAGAGGTAAAATAGGTAGGAGAACAAAAGTAAATTAGGAAAGAGAACAATACAGGTAAAATAGGGAGGAGAACAACACAGGTTAAATAGGAAAGAGAACAACACAGGTTGAATAGGTAGGAGAACAACGCAGGTTAAATAGGTAGGAGAACAACACAGGTAAAATAGGTAGGAGAACAACACAAGTTAAATAGGAAAGAGAACAAAACAGGTAAAATAGGTAGGAGAACATCACAGGTAAAATAGATAGGAGAACATCACAGGTAAAATAGGTAGGAGAACAATACAAGTTAAATAGGAAAGAGAACAACACAGGTAAAATAGATAGGAGAACAACACAGGTAAAATAGGTAGGAGAACATCACAGGTAAAATAGGTAGGAGAACAACACAAGTTAAATAGATAGGAGAACAACGCAGGTTAAATAGGTAGGAGAACAACACAAGTTAAATAGGAAAGAGAACAACACAGGTAAAATAGAAAGGAGAACATCACAGGTAAAATAGATAGGAGAACATCACAGGTAAAATAGGTAGGAGAACAACACAAGTTAAATAGGAAAGAGAACAACACAGGTAAAATAGACAGGAGAACATCACAGGTAAAATAGGTAGGAGAACAACACAGGTAAAATAGATAGGAGAACAACACAGGTAAAATAGATAGGAGAACAACACAGGTAAAATAGACAGGAGAACATCACAGGTAAAATAGGTAGAAAAACAACACAGGTAAAATAGGTAGGAGAAAAACACAGGTAAAATAGATAGGAGAACAACACAGGTAAAATAGGTAGGAGAACCTCACAGGTTAAATAGATAGGAGAACAACACAGGTAAAATAGATAGGAGAACAACACAGTTTAAATAGATAGGAGAACATCACAGGTTAAATAGGTAGGAGAACAACACAGGTAAAATAGGTAGGAGAACATCACAGGTAAAATAGGTAGGAGAACATCACAGGTTAAATAGGTAGGAGAACAACACAGGTAAAATAGGTAAGAGAACATCACAGGTAAAATAGGTAGGAGAACAACACAGGTGAAATAGGTAGGAGAACATCACAGGTAAAATAGATAGGAGAACAACACATGTAAAATAGGTAAGAGAACAACACAGGTAAAATAGGTAGGAGATTAACACAGGTAAAACAAGTCCAAGTTGATTTGATTTTTTGTCAAGAAAAATATGTTTAAACTAAAACAGGTAGGAGAAAGACACAGGTAAAACAAGAACAGACTATAACTCCTGTCACAACATGATTGTATTAAACTGCTGTCACAGCATGACTGCATTAATGTTTTTGCAAAAAGTTGAAGAAAGGAAAACACACTCGTTAGCTATACAATATAGATCTCAACTCAAATAAGAAAAAAACAACCAACACACTAATACATGTAATGTATTTTTATTGTAAAACAAATCTCTCAACAAAAAGCTGTTACTTTGATAGAAATCTTTACTTCACTCTTCATTATCATAGAGTCAATTCTATATGAACACATATTTAGGACATATACCTTGCTCACACAGTATAACAGGTTCTGTAAGCAACTATGTCATTTTTTGGCATTTTTATCATTTGACTATTCGTGTTAGCTCATACTATAGTCCGGTTAGTCTTGCAATCACAAATACGGAACTAACCTCCTTTTGTATTGACTAGAAAAAACACTGAGCTCCACAACATATGTATAAAATGTCAATCATCAGAAATCTAATTACATTGTACAATAACAACAAATCAAAAATATTATATCTCATATTTTTTCATCTTTTTAGACTCAAAATATTATGTGTAATGATAAAATTTTGAGTTATGACAAATAACCTCCAGCTACCTACTTTTCAGTAATTGGACAGCTTCCCCGTACACAGGACACTGCAGATTGATATGATATGGAACAAATTGGAGACGTGCTCCTTATCATAACCGACTTGTACACCTTGATGTCTTCACGTTACCTACAAGTACTGGTTTGAGTATTTTTCTGTTTTGATAATTTAGTTTTATTTTCTGTACATGTATAACGTTAAGTACTATTTTTCTGTTAAAATGCATTAAATTTATATTAATGCATGAGTATTAGTTTCGTGTAAATATATTTATACGGTTATTTCTTTGTAGAAGCACTAGTACTATAGTTCTTTGTAAATACACTGATAGTGATTTTCTGTAGAAATACACTAATACTGTATCTCTGTATAAATGCACTAGGAATATTTTGTTTTTATAAAATGCACTAGATACATGTATCTACACTATAGTACTATTATTCTGCAGAAATGTACTAATATTTTTGTTTGTATAATGCACTATCTTATATGAATGCACTAGATTTATATTAATGCACTGATATCATTTTTGTGTAAATGTACTTGTGCAGTTCTTCTGTATACATCCGAATGTTAATAAAAATACTTGAGATGTTTAATGTACTTAAACATAGGAGAGTTTAAGTATGTGAACACAATACAGTGCATGGCGCTTCGATATATATCCTTTTAAGTTGGTTTCGTTGGTGATGCCAGAACATTGGTCAGTGTCCCTGGAGGATATGGCCATACACATGGCCCACAGAACATGGAGTACGGTCCAGACGTAGGGAAGGCTGGCATGCCGATGTTTGTCATGTTGTTACTTCTGTAAAAGGTAATATTGAATTACATTATTACCCAGTTTTGAACATATATCATATCACTACCATGTCCTTACTCCATTTACTTTGACTATTATGCATTTTTGATGTGTTTTACTTTTTTTACAGGAGTGGAAGTTATAATAATATTATACCGATGTCTTCAAATACTTTATAGTTTTCACGGGTCAAAATTTTCGCGATTTTGCAACAAGACGATAGAATTATATTTTAAGTAATAAAAAATCTGGATTTGGATGTAAAAGGACGTCAAAGACTCATACTTCATTATTTGACAAATTAAATGTTTGTGGTCATGTTATTGTAACTGAAAAGTTTTAATCGGTGCAACGAGGGCGAAATATGAATAAGGGAATGATTTAAATGAGATAAAGATATAGTAAAATATAACAAGGTGTTTCGAAATCATTGCACATATCTAACCTTTGTATGACCTAATGTCAAAAAGGCAAAAGGACAATTCGTCTTACAATCAGCAAATCGGAAACAAATTTGTGTAGATGACAATTTCTCTCTTTGTGTAAATAAATAAAGTAAAAAAATATATAAGTTGACATTTGTACATATTTTTGTCTTGTGTGACTGATCTTATTGTTGATTTGATATTTTAAAAAGTGAGATAACTATTGTTAGAAGATTGTTCATAGATAATGATTATGTTAGCTCAATAATGATCGGTCAAGAAATTTATCAATGGCCAAGAACAGATTTAACTGATTGGTCAAGAACGGCTATTAATGATAGGTCCAGAACGACTATTGATGATTGGTCAAGAACGGCTATTGGTAATTCGTGAGGAATGGCTATGAAGATTGGTCAAGAACAGCTATCGATGATTGGTCAAGAACGGCTATTGATAATTGGTCAAAACGACTATGAATGATTGGTGAAAAATGGCTAATAATGATTGGTCAAAAACGCCTATAAATGATTGGTCAATAACGGCTATGGATGATTGGTCAAGAATGGCTGTTGATGATGAGTTCAAGAACGGCTATTGATGACTGGTGAAGAATGGCTAATAATGATTGGTAAAAAACGACTATAAATGATTGGTCAATAACGGCTAAAAATGATTGGTCAAGAATGGTTGTTAATGATTAGTTCAAGAACGGCTATTGATGTTTGGTCAAGAACGTCTATTGTTGGATGGTGAAGAATTGCTAATGATAACTGGTCAAGAATAGCTGTTGTCGATAGGTCAAGAACGGCTTACGATGATTGGTCAAGAACGGCTATAAATGATTGGTCAAGAACGGCTATTGATGAATAATGAAGATAGCTAATAATGATTGGTCAAGAACGGCAACTGATGATTGGTCAAGAACAGCTATAAATGATTGGTCAAGAACGACTAGAAATAATTGGTCAAGAACGGTTATTGATGATTGGTGAAGAATGGCTAATAATGATTGGTCAAGAACGGGTGTTGGTGATAGGTCCAGAATGGGTATTGATGATAGGTCAAGAACGGCTAATAATGATTGGTCTAACACGGCTGTAAATAATTGGTCAATAACGACTGTAAATGATTGGTCAAGAATGGCTGTTGATGATTAGTCAAAAACGGATATTGTTGGCTGGTGAAGAATGGCTAATAACTGGTCAAGAACAGCTATTGACGATAGGTCAAGAACGGCTATTGATAATTGGTCATGAATGGCTGTTGATGATAAGTCAAGAACAGCTATTGGATGGCGAAGAATGGCTAATATTGATTGATAAAAAACGGCTTTAAATGATTGGTCAAGAATTCTTTAAAGGATTCGACAAGAACGACTACTGATGGCTGGTGAAGAATGGCTAATGATAACTGGTCAAGAAAAGCTATTGATGATAGATCAAGAATGGCTATTGATAATTGGTCAAAACGACTATAAATGATTGGTCAATAACGGCTATAAATAATTGGTCAATAACGGCTATAAATGATTGGTCAAGAATGGCTGTTGATGATTAGTTCAAGAACGGCTATTGATAATTGGTCAAGAACGACTATTGATGGCTGGTGAAGAACGGCTATTGATAATTGCTCAAGATAGGCAATTGTTGATTGGTCAAGAATGGATATAAATGATTGGTCAAGAACGGCTATTGATGATAGGTCCAGAACGGCTTATAATGATTGGTCAAGAACGGCTATTTATGATTGGTCAATAATACCTATCAATGATTGGGCAAGAACGGCTCTAGATGATAGGTCAATAACGGCTAATAATGATTGGTCCAGAACGACTATTGATGATTGGTCAAGAACGACTATTGATGATAGGTCAAGAACGGCTATTGATAATTGGTCATGAATGGCTGTTGATGATTAGTCAAGAACAGCTATTGGATGGCGAAGAATGGCTAATAATGATTGATAAAAAACGGCTTTAAATGATTGGTCAATAACGGCTATAAATGATTGGTCAATAACGGCTATGGATGATTGGTCAATAACGGCTATGGGTGATTGGTCAAGAACTGCATCAAATGAATAGACAAGATCAGCATAAATAATGTTACACTTCTTGTTTTTGTTAAATAAATAATCAATGGAACTTAAATATGCCTATCTGTAAAGGTAATTAAAGGTAAATGAAGTAAAACCTCCTCATGAAATACTAACACATAGATTATAGTGTAATCATACCAACAGACATTCCGTCAAGAACTGATGTCGAGATGATTTAAAGAAATCGTGTGTGATGGTTTGTTTTAGCAGATTTAAGAAGTAATGTCACGCAAGGATATACTTATCGTTTCTTTTTTTAAAAAAAAAACACTACATAATATGAATTAAAACATTTCAATGTAAAACAAATGGAATAAACTTATCGCAGTAAACCGTTCCGTACATCAGTTGACATATCAGCCTAAAACCAGGTCATAATATTTCATGAAAAAGTCTTTTATATGTATACAGATTACTTGTCCCATCTGTCTTCAAACTTGTGGAAATCCTGAAAGTCTTTTGAGAACGATTTGTTGTAAATTGTGAATTCTTGCTTATTCGTTTTTCTTGTTACTTCCTACGCACAAAGTACGATTTACAATTACACGGCTACTTTACTTTCCATCTCTAAAATAATTTTCTTACCAATATGATATATATTAAGCGATTCGTCTACCTGATTTTTTATAGGACCACAGACGTTCGTTATAAAAATGTCCTCAGAAAGTATCTCTACCATAAACTTATGATTCGATGTGTTGTTTATGTTTTTAAATCGGGTTGAATGATAGAATAATGGTGATACTGAAGAATTTCTACCGTGACCTGATTCAAAACATCCCTGAACCTTGAACAGTGAACCAGGTACATGTATTTCCTACAGTTGCCTTATCTATAAGGTGCCACTATGGTCTTGATTTTTCCTCGCATTGTCTTTTAACCTTTTATGGTTATCATCGTCGATTTCTTTTGCCCTTATATTTTACTTAACCTTTCTGGATATTTATTCTGAAATATCTTAGAGTATTCTTTAACTCAAAAGGATCGCCATCTTACCTTATTTGTTGGTCCTGATGAGCTTTTTCAATGCGTTTTTCCTTCGCTCTTCTATTCTGAAACCAGATCTTGATTTGATTTTCTGACAAGTTTAAAACTTCTGCCAGTTCGTATCTCCTTGGTCTTGAAATGTATTCTGTTCTGTTATACTCTAGCTCGAGTTTTAGAGTTTGTTCACTCGTAAACGTGGTTCGCTGTCTCCGAGGACGATTCTCTCGTCTTTTTCGTCTCTGCACTAAATAAAATATACTCTTTTAGTTTGTAGTCAACTGGAGAAAAATGCTGTTCTATTTCCTCTTATGACTGTATGGTATCTGAAAATCATTTAACTGTGCATTATCTAGAAATTATATAACTGTGCAGTATTTAGAAATTATATAACTGTGCAGTATCTAGAAATTCTATACCTGTGCATGATCTAGAAATTCTATAACTGTGCAGTATTTAGAAATTCTATAACTGTACAGTATCTAGAAATTCTATAACTGTGTAGTATCTAGAAATTTTATAACTTTGCAGTATCTAGAAATTGTATAACTGTGTAGCATCTAGAAATCTTGTAAGTGTAAGGCACCTAGAAATCTCGTAACTATGCGGTATCTAAGGTTCTTGAGAAATCGTTTATCTTTGCGGTAACTGGAAATCTTGTAACTGTGCGGTATCTAGAAATCTTGTAATTAAGTGGTAACTAGAAGTCTTCTTACTGTGCGATATCTAAAAACGAACTTTGGACAAAGGACATTTAATTAGACATTAACTTTATAGATGTCATCAGTAAGTTGTATTGTTGGAATGAGAAGACTAAAAACAAGCTGCACAAAGGCTGTTTTTGTTCTCACATTGCCGTAACACACCTTTCACGATCAAGCAGTAAAGCATTAACATCCAAATAACATTGTTTGGATAATACATATTTTATTTTTAATTTGTGATTCCACTTTGTTGCAATTCCGAGCAAGTTACGGAACATAACGATTTAATGAACGATTTGAGCAAAATATAACATTTCTGGTTATCGAACTAAATACATATTGATTGAAAGCTATAACCATTTCATCATTTGTAATCAGATTTTGACGTTGATTTTTGAAAGAAATATAACTATGGTATATGCCTAATAGAATTTTTGAAAATACGGACATAGATATAAGAAATGACGAGGAAAGTGTATTGTGAAAATATGTTTATTGTCCAATATCATACAAAATGTAATTTTCTGTTTCAGCATGGTATTTCTGCAATAAATGTTGGTGTTTTGTACAACTAATAATTGGTGCCAGATCATAATCTATTTAGTTTTGATGTCATATCAATGTGTTAATGAAAATCTATCGTTTAATCTAGCTTTCTTAGCTTGAAACCTGTTATATTTTCTTTTGATCTCAATTCCTTGGAAATTGCAAATTCTTGTTAAAATAACCAATTTTTTAGCCGAAAGAGAAAATCTGCGATTTCAATCAAAATATCAAAGAATTATAAATTTCTCTACAGTATGCCATTTATTATTTGATATATTCATGAAGGATATTTCTGTTTTATCCTATTGATTTATATAATTACTCACTGACAAGAAAGTGAATACATCTATTTACTATCAAATAATACATAAGATTTAAAGTTTAATAATTTGATTCTGTTTGATATGGTACTTTGGTGACATGTCCTCAGTTAACGCTAAATGAACAAGTGACAATTTTATAGGCAGGTAATCATAGCAGCACAACAGATTTTGCTTTGCGAGGAAAAGCAATTGTAGAAATGTTTCCTGTGGAAATACAGAAATTATAGCAATGATTCCGTCGGAAAAACACAAAATGTAGCATTGTTTTCTATGAAAGAAAGTAAACTTGTAGCGATATGTTTTAAACGAAAAAAAAACCAAAATGATAAAATATGCTTTGCATGAAACAAACAAAAAGTAAAATATGTTTCCTATAAAAAAAATCAGCAGTTTGTTTCCAGTAGAAGGAACAACAATTGTAGCAATAAGTTTCTTATAAAAGAAACCAAATTTATAGTAATATATTTCCTATGCAAGATACAAAAATATAAGCAATATGTTTCCTACATTAGAGACAAAAAACAGGACTTTTTTTTACGAAAGAAGCAAAATATAGTAAGCAATGTTTCCTGTGAAAGGCACAATTTCTTTTTTTCCGAACGCAAAACAAATTGTAACATATCTTCTATGAGAGAAACAAATTTTGTTTGTTTTACGAAAGAAGCAAAATTATGAGTTTGAATGAAGCAAGCTTTTCAGTAATTCTGCAGTAAGAAGCAAAAATTGTAATGATCTCGTCAATATATCAGGAACAAAAGACAAACAATTTTTCCCTTAAAGGAGAATGGAAGTATTACACTTTTCCTCTGATGACAGTTCTATAATTATTCTTGCATCATTTAACAATAATATAAATTGCGCTAGACGCCGTGTCTGTATATCAAACTTGCAGAATAACAATTTAAGGTTAGCATGAAACAAATGGTATTACCTTGAAATGTATTATGAGAATGTTATTTTGGCTTTCTATCGATATAATCTGTTACGGTTTATCGAATTTGTCCCAAGAACTCTAGTATATAGAAAATTTGAATTAACCAGGAGTAGAAGTAAATACACACGTACATGCTTTTATCTGAAAAATACTTACTGATTCCTGCAAACACTGGTGTCATAGGGAGTCCCTGTGTGCCTAGGGAGTAGGAAACGGGGGAATGTTCCCCGAGCCACTGTTTCGGGTATTCCACGGCGGAAATCTTATCGAGTCCTGTCGAGTGTAGCAAATGTCGAGCTCCGTCCACACCAATATTTCCGGGCTTCCAAGAAGAAAATGCTGAAAAAGGTCCACCGATATGGGTGGCCTGTGGTATGTTGTCTACATTTAAAGTGTCTATTTGTAACTTTGGCGTCATAGTTTTCAGAGTTTCACTTTTCGAATTTTTAGTGCCGCTGTCATCTTTTGATTCTGGAAAATTACTCTTTAAAGAAGTGGGAATAGAAAACATGCTTGATGATATTCTTCTCTTAAAGAAAGTTGTTTATTGAAAATTTTCCTCTCTCTTATTAAAGTGTCAGAACGTGTCTCATTTCTCCTGTCATGTAGGAATACAACACGGTGAACATATGTTTTGTTATAAGTGGTTGTTCTCGGAAACTGTAGAAAATGTCATTCTTATCATAACAATATAGGCTGTTACAGTCCAACAGGGAGAAAACTGTATATCCTCTAAAATTCCCACATAGAAATTACACGAGTCCGGCAGTTCAATGGTTATGAAGTGATAGTTTTTCCTGTATATAATGAATTAAATCCTCGACAGTGTCGTCTTCATTGTCTGTAGATAACACATCTACCCTGACCATGTGATACTGTCACCTTTACAGTACTATTGCTATGTTATAAAAATTAACAAGTCCTTCTCATGAAGTCAGAGTGCTTTTAAACAGATTGTTTTCAGGCAGCAAATCACAGGTTAATTATACAAGGTGTATAAAACTTATTGTTACAATACAGGCTTTGCCTCCAGAGATAAAGAATAATTTGCCGTCAAATCAAAAAGATCCTCTGATACCGGGTGAAATTGTGTGAAAACACCGCCTGGTCCGACGTCGAGCCTGCCTCCAGCAAGCCTGCTCCAGTCGGATCAGTTCGCTCAGTTTAAGGGCAATGAAAAGGGAAGCAAATTGGCTAATTTATAAGGCGAGCGTCTTCTTTCCTCAATACACAATTTAACTAGGGAATCAGTGTTGTGGTGACAGGAAATGATCTTTTTTTTCACAAATTAAGATGAATTCACGAGCCTCAAAAGAAACACTTATAATCAAATTGATAATCATTTACGATATCGTCTCTGCTTAAGAACTGTATGATTTTCTTGATATCGGTTCAGTGTAGTTTAACATGTGTAGGTTTGTCGCGAATTCCTTATCAATATTCATGAGAAGAAAAAGAGATAATAGCATGATGGCAGCTATTCCTTAGGAGTTGAAAGGCACGTGCGTACACAGCGAGCCGCTGTGCTAGTTAATTATTGATACTAGGCTGTAGACGGGGACTTGATAATTGTTAGCGGCCAAAACACATTTGACGGGGAAATACTAATTGGATAGTCACCTTTTATTGCAAAACACGTGTTTCATTCTCATCGGAGAGCTCAAGTGTCCACCCGCTAATTCTTAAACTCTCTTATAAAAAAGACATTTGAGGTAACACAGATAAATGGACATTTAAATGGGGACCTGAGATTGTTTCAAGTGTTTTGTAATTAAATGGCAATTTAGACTAAATGGTATTTTTAAATGAAAAGAAAAACGAGAACAAATACCACAGATCTTTTCCAATCTTAATTGTCTCAGTGTGCCGATGAAAGCATCTATTTGTGTAACAAAAATTTAAATATACTTTTAGTCATAGTTTTACAATAATTGACATTTACATATCTTTATTTATCAATAAAACTTGAAATGTAATGTAAGAGATACTACTCTACATGAGTATGTCTTCATGCTAACCTACCCTCAAATTTCCAGGCTAACATACCCTATAAATCATCACGCTAGCTTGATCCTTAAAGCTTCATACTATCTTGATCTCTAAATATTCAAGCTTACCTTTCCTTCAACTCTTCACGCTAACCTTCCTTCCAGATCTTCACGCTAACCTGATCTCTGTAATTCTTCACGCTAACCTAACCTTTTAATTATCACCTTAATCTACATTCCAAATCTCCATGCTAACCTTACTTCTTTTAACGCTAACCTGACCTTAAAACTTAGCATGTAACGTCTACATCTTGACATTAAGCTGCCCTCAGATATTTGTTGTCCGAAAAGGTAATGATGATTCTCAATACATACATAATTTTTCTCCTGAAAAATAAGTCAAACAGCTCACTTGGTTCGAAATGGTAAAATCTATATATGATACTTGTCAAACGAGGAGACAAACCTAAGCGCTAACCTAGACTGCAATAATTGTCACGTGAAGAGATAAGTCTAATTATTGACTATCCTTCGATAATTGACTCCCAAAGTTGTAACGCTGATCAAATTGTTTAACCAAATGAATGTTATTCTCAATATGACTCTTTGTTTATCAGATGTTTACGCATCACGACAGAAATTACATGTGTATATCATTCACCTCAAGGGTTATATTTCATTCCATGGGGTTGTGGTGTAGGTATAAACGAAACAAGAAAATTTCGTAAGTAGAGATAAAGTGAAGAATAAAAATTTTAAAAATCAACAGTGATCACCAACCAACTCAGATTTTATAATCAGGAAGAATATGTGGGCTTAAAGGGGGTTATTCATAATATGAGTCCTTAAAAGGGGTTATTCATAATATGAGTCCTTAAAGGGGGTTATTCATAATATGAATCCTTAAGGGGTTTATTCATAATCAAAGTTGCCTTCTAATAACCATTCATATATTAATTATTACCAAACCTGACATCTTCCATGGCGCATATTAACATAAAGGTTAAACGTATGTCTCTGAAGTTGCGTCAGCCATATTGCTTCTAATCTCGATTCACACGCATGTGCACCATCCGACTTGCAACCGGTAATTTATGAATTATAACTATTTCTTTTTTTCAACTTATGTTGAACAAATGAAATTGTTAGTTTTGGATTTCAACAACAATTGAACCAATACAAGCCTTCCTTTAAGATATCGCCTGAACCTGTCATAATGGCCGACACCTCAGGTGATGAGATTGGTGATTGGAGTTCTACACCTTACCAGTAACATGTACCCGTAATGAATTGTCTCTTTATCTTCTTTTAACTGTTCAGCATTTAGAACATTTTCTCATACTAACGTCAATGAATGAAATGAAATTAAAAGTATGTCGGTGAATGATTTAAAAATAAAATGTGGAAGATCGAACCGTATTTTCGTATTATCGTTATAACTGTAAATATGACCTGTCCAATACTGTCCCACGTAAGAGATTTTAAGAAAATGCTTGTTTTAAACATGTGATTTAAGCGGAATAATATAAATGGACGATAATGTAGATATGAAAAATATGTGCATCTTTAAAATATCATGAGTTGATAACGCGATTAAACAAATTTGTCCACAAACTCGATACTGCTATGAGATTAAAATGTTGAAAAAATAAGATTCTCTCAAACTGAAGATATGAAAATTTTGTGATATTTATACAGATATCAATATATATATAAATAATATAATTAACCATTAATAGACCACAAAACAATCAAAATTGTTCATTCTAGACTCATTATTACTTCAGTAAACACGACGATATTTTACTTTTATCAAAGTATTACAGCATTTTACTGTGTAACTTTAATAGTTATTTTAACCACTTTTCATGACAACAATTTTAAGATAAAAATGGAATAGGTATTTAACAAGGCCTTGCTTCATTCTCAAACAAAATGACCCTAAAACTAAATAACTGGATGATAAAGTGTAATATCCATTACCTAAGAGTGCTTTTACTTTGAATGATAAGTTACGTGTAAAACGTAAATAAAATGTGATCATTTCATATGTTGGTTTGAAATTTCAGCGAATACTTCAAATGGAATACATCGGAGATATGAAGAAAGTAATTACAAACAGGTTGCTATCTCCTATTGTGGGCAGAAATTCATCTTATCAGGGTATAATAATCTGTAAAATAATTAAAATTCCTTTGAAGTCTTTAACAAAAAACAACATCATGTAAAGCATTCCAAGACAATCTGTATCTGATACCAAAGTTATAGAAATGACGAAATATTTATTCAGATTACAAGGTGTTCTATTGATTAATTCTTCAATGCCTAGCTTCTAGGAACAATTTGTGCTCTTTTCATAATTAGTGAAATATTGGCAAGATAATGATACTTACTGACGCATGTGTGATTTTTGTCTTCCTGAAAAAGAAAAAGACGCAGATAATGAAATCAACACAAATATAGGTAAATCAATGCGTGTCTAACTGTTTTAGGTATACACCAATTCGGCCAACTTGAATCAGTATTAGATATATCAAATATTATCTCTCAATATTTTTAACATAACTAAAATATTGACTCGACATTCATGTGGTTGTCTGTATCAACGTCCCAATGCACATTTACATTGCAATTGAGAAAACAGTATATAAACAGCTAGTTGATAGGCTCTTCTTGAGGAAACATTATTATTCCTCGTGGTCTGTTGTAACACTGCCCTCTAAGTTAACATTTATTTAAAATTATTTTATTCATTTTTAAACCACGTTTATTCCTAGATTGTTTTGGATTCGTAGTTCACGGTTTAATGAACCAAAATAGTCCTAAAAAGACCCCTTAATATAGGTTTCACTAATTTGGCAAATACTGTGTTATCCTTCAGTTCGTGAATGTGTGTCTTTTGCACACTAGGATGTCAGTATCAATTACCAAAGCACTTCAGCGAACCCATCTGTATCTGATCGACGAAGTTGTGAGACATTCACACCTGGTGGACACATTATAATACTGAGTCGTACCTTCCCCTGACACGGTTGAGCGCGTCACTACAGATACGGAGCCTCTATCAAATGTCTTCTCGTTTAATCGGGCAACGATTTGTGTCGATTAATTGGTATTAGACGCGATTAACTGACAGATATCATTTTTTACTTTTTTGATATTCTATCGGGTATTTTTTATTGGAATTGTCTGTTCTTTAATGAGAAAATATCAGGAAAATCACATTAAAAACCGTACAAGCGTGATCATGTAGGCCTGATAAAAATGCTGAAGATACCACCTAAATGACCCCCAAATATGTAGTCGAGACAATATAGCGGCTGCATATAACGTATACACATCACCATGGAAACCTCTCTGCTGAGACATGGGTGGTCTAGGTGACTGCCCTGTGCCCTAATTCTGTAAAACAGGTATATTTTGTTATCCTGTACATTGTTCCGTAACAAATACATTGAGTTTGCTGTTTTTTTGTCCAAGACATAAAGCACACTGATAAGAAAAATTATCTTAGCTCATCAGATTTAGAAAATATTCCCTCTGGTGACAGATATATCCTACTGTATCTTAGTCCATTCAAACCGCAGACTAACTACTAATCATTCATAAAACAGTTTACAAACTGTATCTACTACCAACATTTTTTGTATTATTTCCATTTGATGATCCTAGTGACATGTTTTTATTCCAATCATCACGTGACTTTATGGACCTCTCTAAAACAACAAATTCTAGGGCACTGGGTTCGAAGTTTCTTACCACAACTAAATGCTTCAATAGTAATATCTTATGAATTATGATAAAACACCTGACATGTTTTAAGATGGTGGATGTGTGTTAGTATGGAGCTGGTTGTTTACCTCGGTAAAATGTCAGCTTATTCAGCTTAACTGACGAGGTATTTCTAAACATACAAAGAGGACGATACTTTGAACAGTTGCACCAAAGTTGATGAGATAAAACAGCTGGTCGAAGAAATTTGAATGGAAAGCGTCATCACTATTGGTCATGGCTCAGTGCCTTACAACACAAATAAAATTAACGCTATGATATGGCTAAATCACTTGACGTAGGTCGATCACATAGGAAATTTGTGACTCGTGCTTGATGTCAAAGATGTTTGTGAGATAGGGATCTTAATGAAGTTATGAATATCATATAAGGTAGCAAACTGCCGTCAGCTACTGTGGCTAAATATCAGTCAATACGAAATATTTCCTTTTAATGTTTTTGTCTTTTATTGTACCGTTTTTATTTTGGATTTGATTTGACGTTAGAGTATAATATCCTGCTCAGCAACACATCACACAGTACAAATTGGAAAAATGATTATGATAACCATTTTAATTGTTTGGACAAGTCTGTGGTCACAAAATCAGATTTGACTTAAGATGTGTTGTCACGCCATTGTTTCAACGATAGAGGAACGAGTCCACACAGTATGACAGTTGTACGGAACACAATGGGACAGGATAATGGTGGGATTTGGCACCTGGTCACAACGTAACAGTGACGTCACCCTTCGTGTGTTTATAGTTTATAATTCTGCCATGTGTTAATTACAGAACAATTAAATACTTCTGCCTTTGTATCTTTATGCAATTTACTATTTCATAAAAGAATTGACAAATTTACTGTTCGCGAGGGTGTTTTCATTTAAACTGCAGATTCTAATCTTATCTAAACCGAAAGCCTGAACAATTTTGTTACAGCACAGTATATAACTTTTTCCCGAATCTGTTGAGATATAGCTCTATATATTTTCTTACACCTATCTAAAGTCTGAAGGTATCTATCGTACGTCGGATCTTCACTGGAGATCACGCAGGCTAAAAGCTCTATCGACTGGGCCATCATGGCGGCCCCCTCATAGATGTAAGGCAATCCCTGAATATATTACAGAGTTATCAATACCGGTAAAAAAGACCTTGTCAAGTAATTTTCATATTTCTTAAACCCATCACGATCGGGTTTGGAAATATATCACTTTGTGCAATATGTAGGTATTTTTGTCATATGGTAATTGATATGTTCGATGGTGATTTTGTTTCCATTTTAGAATGCTAAATTACTTGCCTGATGTGACCAAGATTTACATGTAGTGTCGTCAACGGAGAAAAAGATGCTTAGCCTTCCGGACTTCAAGGTCTTTAACGTTCTTTTGTTATTTTGTATGCTTATTTCATCGATTAAAGTTTTGAAACAAATTTATTAACATAACGGTATATCTAGTTATTGTTGACATATACAATATTCAAGTTACGTCATGTTCTACAAATGAGAACCGGAGTAGTGACAAAAAGACCAAAGGTGATACATCGAACATCCATGTATGGCCTAAAAAATATTTATCAATCCTTATCTGTCAAAACCTTATGTTCCCCATCAAAAGTGGGCAACAATCATAGATATCGTAATATCAGAAACAACCCATGACAACCAAGTCTAATCAAACATGCAGGAAATGCACTTGGGTATATCAAGGTATTATTATCAAGATTTGGAATAGTTTTTGCCTGTACTCCAATTCCTTTTGTCAGTAGAATCATGAGAACAAAATATTTTGAAATGTAAAAATGTAATATACACTATAAGGAATTTGATAGTATGCATTGACTAAACAATCCCATATTCCTATTTTACAGTTACGCGGTATCAAACAAGGGATACTTTGACCGCTCAGATGTCGTGTCTGTAGTGTGTATTCAGTGAACTAGGGTCCTTAAGCTTACCATCACACACCTTAGAATGCTGCAGTAAGATTTCAAAGAGCGCTGTTACAGTTTTAACATACGTGTTGGGCTGCTTAACTCTCATTATTGGGTACAACAATATAGTGTCAATGTCTTTTTTACGACTGCAAACACAGAGCAAGAACGACAGACATATCGTCAAAATGACGTTCTGTAAAGGGCAATTACAATGTTGTAATGAGTATTGAACACATACATAGACAGACTAAGGCAATAGACATTAGCCTTTGTCCCCAAATCCTAGAATTTATTTTTTTCTATACAAATTGTGATTGAGTTGTTGAATATTGGAGCTCGTGTACTGGTACACTCATAACTGAGGATAAACTGCCTGCACAGAAACTCTTGTAGACCGCGTTGTTTTACCATCTCACTAGCATTTGACACACTACAAACCGAACAAAAATAAGTAACATCTGTAGCGCCTTGAAACAATATTAATATATCTAATGAAACTCCAGATTTATCTGCATTATCGGGTTAAAAACGTTTTATATAGTTTACAATATCAAGGTTAGGCATATATATAGATATAACCCAGGATAGGAGTGTAATGGAATTATAATTCCACTCTTGGATTTCGAAGTTGGTTGAACAAACGCCGTATCGAACAAAATAAAACAGCTGAGTGTAAATCTGATAAGGACTTTTCTCGAATAATGAATGAAACTGAACATGAACAATACAGTACTCTCCACTTCTTTAACAAGTGGTGCTAGGGACAATAAGCGACAACCAATCGGCCGCTAATGAAAGAGGTTTTGAACATCACATCTAGAATCGGTTATTACGCGAAGAGTAAATTTACGGGTACACCTTGGCGTTAAATTAATTCAACTCGCCAGTTCAATAGAACTGAGAGTGAAGAAGTTCTTACTATCTTGTTTATATTAAGTGTTTTATACAGATTGTACTGGTTGAGTATCAACACACTGGTTAAGGTCTAGGTATTCAAAACAAGGCGAAAAAACATAAGAAAAGCAACAAAAAGAACAATAAAATGACCTCCGTAGAATCTGTTTATGGTCGAATATAGTTAAAATCAGTTATCTAACACTTGATATTCGATCAATAACGATTTATTCAAGAAGATATAACCGTTTTATCTGTCTTTTAACAATTGACCTATTCCTTTGTTCCCATATTTCTTTATTCTTTGATTTTAAAATGACATCAATCAATTTCTCATTTCAGCATATGCTCGTTTTAGTTGTAACGAATGCATGCACGTTTCCTAGCGTTTCGGCGACCCCTGGCTAAATTCAGAAAAGATATTTATCTATAACAGGCTTGTTTGCATTGGATATCCGTGCAAATATCACTTACATGAAGATCTTATTCAGTTTCAAATATTCCTTTTTGTCAAACAAAAGCATTGCTAGGCATTGATTCTAAATGTTAACTCAGCCTTGACATCATTTTTTGTCAAGGATATTATCAATATTAAACACTGATAAGGTTGTATGTGGATTAAATACATCAGATGAAACATAATCGATAAGATTAATAACAAAGGATTATCGTTATTACAAAATCTGTCGCAATCATCACTTAAAGGCTTGATACGTTTTAAAAACATCTTAACGAATCAAGAATCCTGCTTTGCCTTCGGTTTCCGTACTAGAAAGAGAACACTGCTGACCGACAACGGGAGGTAACTCAAATAGTGAAAGCATTGAAGCTTTATGGTATTTTGTGTGGAAAAAGTGGTCAAAACCTCAACATAATAAACTGCATATGTGAACCGCATTGAACTCTGGATCTCCGGAACATTTATCACAGAACAGAATAAGGACACGTTTATAAATATCTTGACCAACAAAACATCATTTCAAGCTTTTTATGACGTTAAAGAAATGCAAAAGTTTGAACTAACTTAATAAAATGTGTTCCAAAACCCTGTTGAAAAATTATGACAAATTAAGATAAGAACGTCTGATTTGCTTTATATCCAGTACCAAGCCCCGTAATTTTTATCACCTTCCGTAAACAAGAAAATGTATCGTCTATTACATGGAAAGTGCTGAAGTGACCAAATCGGGCATGAAAATTTCACACGAGGAACTCCATTGGATTATTATACCGAATTTATATAATTCAACATGGTGTTCTTTTTGAAACATAGTTAAATGTTTCTAAAATTTCCTTTAAAATGATCATGAAGTCATTCAATAAATAACATTCTGTTTATTTGGATAAGCCTGAGTCTAGTAAATTGGATTTAAATTGGTATAAATATATAGGCATTACATAGTATACAAGATACACGACTGACAAGTCGTTAGTGGTTCGATTTTCGGATTACAACCTCTGACACTACCATATATGGTTTATGATTAGAGTTAGAGTAGGCGTGTCGATAGACTCTGTTAAAATACTCCTCAACTATGGTCTGTTTCTCTGTCTCTGTTCGGCTCTGATTCAATCCCCCGTAAATCACATAGTACAACCATGGCCGGATCCCCGCCACAATGTGTTCTGCGTACTGTTCTTTTTCTTTAGCATCTACAATACAAAATTTACTTCCTTATATATCAGTTCACAATTCACAATTCACGTTCTATCTTTTTTTTTTTTTTTTTTTGTCGTTTTGATTCATTATTTAAAAGGTACTTTTCCTGGCAAAAATTAAAAAATAACAATTTTTTATTAGAATTAAGAAAATTAGATAAAGAATAATAGTTAAACAATTTAAGCGTTTCAGAGCATTAGAGTTTGTCAGTGATGTAAGTTTATTTCTATAAACAATGATATCAAATTCGTACCTTTGTCAACAATGTCGTACACTGGATGATGCACATAGTGTTTGCTTCCTCTAACAGAGACCATCTCAAGTCCAAGGCCCGTCACTTCAGAATGTGAATGTGTAAAAGGCTCCCGGAAGTCGACTTCGGTTCTCAAATAGTGTGTATTAAAGTTTGTGTTGAGGTATTCGTCCTGTTGTTTATAATAAATATCGTTAACTGTGCACAGATTTATTACAGTAGTGTATAGTAACTTTTTCCATCGTATTCATATGTTGACAGGGGCCGTCAGAGACGGGTTATGATTCCCAAATGAGACAAAATTTAAATATGAAAAATAACAAATGGCAATAACTCCTAAATTATGCGAAAAAAAGATAAATTGTTCTTGTGCACTGCACTTTTCCTTGTTGATTTCTATCTACCCATTACGTTTTAAGTCGAGACCTCTTATAGTTTTAGTGTAATGTCCCGCACAAAGTTTAATTTAAAAAAATAACAAAGGGCAATAACTCCTAAATTAAGTGAAAAAAGATAGATTGATCTTGCGTACTGCACTTCTCCTTGTTGAGTGCAGCACTAAAATAAGTATTGTTAAAACATACCTCAGTTATTAGACCCTCCTTATACATATTCCGGACCAATCCTCCAAGTTGCATAGGTCCACCAGCGATATGACATGTAGACGTATTACCCTCATTACAGGATGGTGTAACAACTACCAAGTAACCACCTTGTGAAAACATGACGGTAGTCTTATCAACAATTTATCAATGTTTTTTTTCTTAAAGAAAACTAGACTCAGAAAAAAAATGTTTAAAGTTTCCAAAACTGTAATGGCGTAGTAATTGCAGTAAACATATCACCAATGGATGAGTATTTACAATTATTTGTAATTCAATATACACACAATCCTAATATTAAACCGAATATTGTTTCTGAATAAAAAGAAATCCATCTAGATTCCACAACTCACACAATGGTTTGGTCATTCTTGGACTTGTCAATGAAAAGAAATTTGATTTTATTTATAGATGACTTTAATATTAATTAAAAGAAGGCAACATTATTTCAAGACTTACTCTGGCATTAAATGAAAAGCAATATTACCTGGTTTCAATTCCCGGCCCCGTGACACTACAAATGTGCTCCATTCCTTTCTTGCCTGTTCCTCTATAAGAGTTCTGTCTTCATCGTCTGCTTCTTCAAGAAAGACGCCATCTTTGATGTTACAAAGGCTTAGAAAAAAATTAACAAGAGTATGAAAATGTTTAAAGTTATACAGATCATATCCACTGGATTGTTACTGTCTGAAAATAAAATATTACCTAGTTTAGTTGAAATAGCCACCCTTGTCATACAGAATAGTGGAAAGCTGTTGGTTGTGATGTGATAAAAAATCGAGGAGAGTGGCGGCTGAAGAATCCGGCTGATCTTTATGAATATCATGTATCATCAAAAGCAAAAATAAATGTATATACACGTATCGAAGAGTGAAAATAAACAAGTAGCCTGTTTTAATAATTATTCGGTAAATGAAACTTTGTATGTAAACAAAAGCAAATCAGTCAAGAAAGAGGCCCATTTTGTTGCAATGGGTATGCCTTCATGAAGAGAAAGTCAATATTATTCACTAAAAATATTTCAATAAGCCAATACATTTCAACAATCAAATCTACCAAATAGCCATGATCCTAGCAAAATCAAGACTTTACCTCTCTGACAGCATGTGTACGGCGAAGGACGTAAACGATAAGTCTACTGAGTTGTCGGGGAGACATTGTTTATACATGGTCCTGGGTAGGAGTGTCCAGTAAACGTTAGGATCTAATCCTTCCGCTGCTGTTAACAAGGGTGAAGATATGTTTTAACGCAGTGATCAGAGCTAATCAGGGGTCAACTACTCAGTCTTGTTCAATCTAAAACATGCACGTAAGTTAAAATGTAGACAAAGTACGTCCATTTCGTTATTTTACAAAATAATAATGTTGCCCATATTACAGTGTTATTGCTAATACTGAATTCCCTGTATCCAACTAACGAATGTATCTTTATTTTGATCCAGTGAACAAACTGTCATTTTCAATGTTGAAACTTACACATAAACAATGCAGAATTCCATAACCGACAATTAAAGCATCAACAAACCTGAGAGAACTTTGGTAAGCAAGTTAAAATCATTATCTGGACGGTCGTTGTAATATACCAGGATCTGTTGCTTCTGTCCCATCTTACACCGCGCTTTATCTTAATCAAATAAAACAGACTTTCAGTGTCAATCGAGAAGTACATAATGGTGGATCTAGGCTTTTTAGACTTATTCATGAATTAGGGAAAGTTGTATTTATTTTTTAGGCGGGGTATCACAGGCAATGTAATCTTAACGGTATTTGGGCAGAAGCTGCACTCATGTACCCACATAAACTGAAGGTTCAGTGATCAACTCTTTCCGTTAAACAGTTGTCACCCAAAGTTGAGCATTCTCTTTCAAATTAATAAGCAAAAAAAATGATATCGGTGATACTAGAAATAGATCACTAAATATCCAAATAAATATTGATTTATCATACAAATGCTGAAAAATTGATGTATTAATCAATCCAGGGGTAATTACGTATACTAGTTACTGACCACATATCTAAGCAGGAACATTTATAAATTAAAAGGATATCGACGAATGTGTTGTATTAATGTGTACATGTCTTCATCGAAGAAATCATTACAAAGCGCTGATAACAACGTGATCCCTGAAAAGAGCCGACAAGAATACCAGACATTCCGCAAGGGTAAGCGTGATGTGAATCTACCTCACATGCTAGAAATACGTTTTGAAAATGAGACAGGAGTGGGTTCATCGCAAAGATAACGAAGTACGTTATAATTCATCTTACATAAGTAAATGGATTTCAATGAGAGATAATAATTACGTTAGGATACTGCTTACCAATAATTTCATTTATCAGTGACAATGAAGCCTTTCCATCAGCCGTACCAAAATCAGCAATGTAGATACACTGCATGTCATGTACAGGTCTGGCGTCCATAATCTCCTCTACAAAGAAATCGCTTATGTGAATTTAATCTTAACATTAATTATTTACTTTTGACTAAAGAATCGGGAACAATGATAATGGTCTCTATATTTTTAAAATTCATCAAATATACAGTAAAAAGGGTATCTATGTTTCGAAAGTTTCTTAAATAGGAAAACTTTGCTTTACATTAAACATTTGTGAAGTAAAACGATGGCGTGACAATAATATTTGTATACACATACATATATATATATATAAATCTATTAGTTATATACAAACCCAAACATTTCAAAATCGCTGGACGACTGGTGTTAACTGCGTACCCATTTATGAGGAACATTTCGTCTTTGTTACCACCTTTTCCGGCGATCAACATTTCCGGAAATGAACTATAACATAAAATGGATGAAGTCATTGACAAGACGAATCAGATGCAGACACTTTATTAAAGCAAACTGATAGTACAGGCAAATAAAGTTAGTACACCTATAGAAAGCACAACAAAATATCAAAAGGTTAAACACGCAGCTGAACTAACTGGTCACCATTCAGTCTACGTGGTGATATGTAATGCGGTGTATGCTGACAACCTTCGATTTCACAAGTTTAGAGTGACCCCCTGAAGAGAGAATAAAAGAGCGAATGCCTTTTTGGACGTTACAAACTGATATGAACGTATATGAAGTACTAATTGCGCGGTCAGGACGTAATAACCAGTAGTTCTCTAACTGTACTGTCAACAGATCTGTTTACAAGTCTGTTTACACAAGCAGGTAATTAAACAGAGTATATTTTATGTACTTCTACATGTAGACTTCCAGTAGTATCACGGCTACAAGTCACTCCCGTCACAATAAACATATCTGAAACTTGTGTGACACATAAACTTGGGAACATTTTATAACATATTTCAAGTCTAGCGTTAAAGCCTTCGTAGACATTCACTCAAACAAGGTCAACTGTGTTACCATACAACTCCATGTACACAACTGTTTTAATATCCCAAACTGGTTCACGGTGTCATGAGATCTATAATTGATATAGGCTGCTGTCGGAGGGAAAACGTACAACGGAAGTATTCCGATCCTGTAAGTTCATGTAGTAAACTATTGGAAAGTTTTCACAAAGTATGGTCGTTAAGGCGTCATTGAGAAGTGGTATTTTCCTATTGTGATGTAAAATCATAATGCTTGAGACGTGTTTGCTTTACTTAAACTTCATTTTAATCTAAATATACTTGGTTTGTAACCTTAACCATTAAAATCAATTTCTACGGTAAGATTATGACGTAAATACCTGGACCAAGCCTATACGACTTCATGATTCTGATATAAAATGACATCAATATAACCTCGGTATCAATAGCATGGGCTTAACAGTCTGTTCGTGGTAACTTAATGATTAAGTGACAAATACCAAATAGATCAAAGTCAGACATATACTTCTATATAAAGAGACATACTCCAATTGTTATATACTCACGGATTTGCCATCTTGAGTCTAATTCGGACTTCCACTTCTTGGAATGACGGGGAAGTCTACAATAGCAGCTGCTTTAACGGCCTTACTTATATTAAGCCCTTTCCTATAAGGTTTGACAAAATACATATTAACAAGACAAGACGATATGTTTAAATGCAATTATGTGTGGAGAGAGAGAGAGAGAGAGAGAGAGAGAGAGAGAGAGAGAGAGAGAGAGAGAGAGAGAGAGAGAGAGAGAGAGAGAGAGAGAGAGAGAGTGAATTTAATTTCTTGTAAATAGGTCTCTCCTACAATGAACAACACTAGTAAAAATACATAACACTTTTCAAAACTTGCAAAACTTCGCCACCTCCCGTGCTTATTTCATTTTCTCCTGTCATACGAGTCCTTCAAGTAATCATCACCACTAGTGCGTTGGAGCAAAGAGACACCAAACATTTTATAGTGTAATTTCAGAGAGAGAGAGAGAGAGAGAGAGAGAGAGAGAGAGAGAGAGAGAGAGAGAGAGAGAGAGAGTGAGCTCAAGAGATCAAAATCAATTTGAGTTAAGTAGATATTGCTGAGTGATTTGACATATTTTTACATCATCTTCATACGAGTAGTTCATGCTACCATATAGAAGTATCTGCAGGTTTAGAGAGATAAGATTATCTAGTTCTCGGTAGAGTCTGTATAATTATTACAAAAAAAATAGTGGTAAGTGTCTACAACAGGATGTCCACATTGACAGCAACAAGATTGGAACTGAAAAGGTAATTGTTTATGGTACTGGATTTATTTCTTAACCCAGCGTGCAGTATATTAGTCTTACGACTACCAATCAAATAATAATTTGGTACTAGTGTAGGGGTTTTCAAGAGAATTTTTTAAGATAGAGTAAGAAACAATTTGTCTATTTCCATGTTCAAGTTGGTTCCAAAGTCGGATAGTAAACGGAAAAAAGGAGAAATTTGTTTGTTGTCGAAGGAAATTTTGTATTTGGTATTAAGTTTACGAAGGATACTTACCTGTTTGGATGCATCTTTACAAATATCTTCTATGTGTCTTCCCCATTTACAATTTTCACCTAAAGTTATCCCTAGATGTTTATGATGGTCTATAAAGTCAACACTCACATTAAAACATTTAATATCTATGACATGATCGTGCTCAGTGTTTGAAATAAGTAAAGCTTCGATTTTCAAGAGATCAAATGTAACAAGCCACTTTTCTGCCCAATTTTGAATTTTAGCCAGGTCGTTATTAATTTTAGTTTCGATGGCCAAAGAGAGAAAATATTGAAGAATCATCGGCAAACCGTTTAGAGAGACTTTTAAGATAATCAGCTATATCATTAATATATAAAATAAAAAGTAAGGGGCCCAATACCGAACCTTGTGGAACACCTGCAATTTGTAGATTTTATGGAAGATTCACTATTTCCTACATAGATTTTTCTATTTCTTTTTCTATTACTGACATAATTGTTCTACCAAACTAGAAGTTTTCCACCATACCATAATTAGCTAGTTTTATATTCAGTCACTTGTGCCACAACCTATCGAACGCTTTAGAAATATCACAAAAAACTAAATACGTTGACTCCATATTTTCAATATTTTCACATAATGCATGAGGAATTTCAATATTTTAATGACCAGTAGAATGACCAGGCTTGAAACCTGACTGGTATTATCGAGTTAAAATTATCGAGCAAAATTGGACAGAATTTGCCGGGGACCATTCCTGGACCTTTCTGGAATTGCACAAGGTTTTAGTCATATATAACGTGCTGGTTATAAACTATTCCCACTAGATGTTTATGCAAATTGAGAAAATCTCCAATATATTACGTTATAATGGGACAAGACAAGATTCTTAACTGCGTGTGTCGCTTCCTGTCGAAATCAACGGTTTCGCCAATTTTGTGATAGATTTACAAGGACTTCTGGGGGAATATGACCGTTAGTGATGGCGTAGTGTGCTGTTTGCACATTATCATGTTTTCAAAAGTATTTGTCGTTGTCGAAGTATCATTAGAAACAACAGATATTCAAGTTTGAAATGGACACCTACCTTTTGTTGATTGAACCCTTCGCCATCTTTACAAAACCATTCCTTAGCGGGTACACGACAGTGATACTGGGCTAGAGCATTATCCATGATCGTCAATTAATTATTTAAACGTAGAAAGGTCATCAGTCAAATAAACCACAGTTAGAATATACATGTAATAGTCAAAACACTCAGTCTTAAGGGAAGGTAGATAAAGGTCATGACAGGAAAGGTGTAAGGTGAGACATAAGACCAAATAAAGAAAGGACAAATAAACAAAGCACATAAGTATTCTTATGTGAATTATCTTGATAATATAGATTGAAAAAACAGTGAAAAATGGTGATCAAAGTACCTATATTTGTTATAGAATAATTCTATAAAACAATATTTGAATTCTTTAACCAAAGAGTGAATATAGGCATGCTATAAATTGAAATACTATGTACAATAATATGATTCCATCAAGAATAATTATTACAGTAATAGAAAATACCAACAGAACTGCACACAGTCACTCTGGTATGGGCAATTTATAAATGGACAGCTGCAGGCAGACAAGTAAATATCTTACTGTATATATAAACATATAAAAATAAACACATAAATACAGGGATAGGAGCTATGTACAAAAACAAGCAAATACATGTATTAGATCAACATGTAAACACAGGTATAGGATCTGTATACTGTGTGTATAAACATGTAGGCTTGAGAAGGCTGGTCATTGGCACAGAATTCCCACGGGCGTGACCTCTAGATCTAGTATGTCGTGGATGGTCAGAGGCACCAGGAGAGGAATCAACTTTTCTTTTATTGGACCATTCTGATTCCAAATCAGACGTAATTGTTAAATATATATATGGCAATATGATGGTCAAACCCCTATCAAGAGAGGACGTGTTTCGAGTACCGCGTGTGTCCTTGGGAAAATATGGCGGTCAGTTTTGTTTACAGTATACACATATACACGCATACACGTACACGTATAGTGTCCGAGTACACAGTTCATAGAGCTCGTAAATCAACAAAGGCAACTTGATATTGCTAGATACAATAAAAGAACAGCATAGCAGTCAATTTCACAGTAATGTGATCTGCATTAGCGTAAAAACTCAACAAACCTAGGTCTCCGACCCAACTACCGCCCTGGTCAAGTCGCCATCTTGTCCATCTCTGAAAATGAAAACTGCATAAGTTACTATCATATTTGAATTTGATCTTTTATAACGATTTATAGTTCACGCCGACAGCTGGGAGTCGTATAAAAGTGATACATCCCTCTCCCGACGTTTTCCAACTAGCCTCACCATTATCTAGTCTACTTTAGCAACTGATCATGCCCCCTCTGCCACACCCCAACTCTTACGTCATAAGTACGTGTATAATTAAGACACTACCATGAAAGCGCGGAAAACAGCAATTCCTATGATTAGATCAATCTCTGCGATATGTAAATGGTAGGGATCGGGCACTCTCGTTCCTTTGATGATGCCCCAGCTATATGTTTAACACCTGTGTATCTGTCATGTAAATTAGTTCTACACGGCAGATTTCGTATGAATAATATGTAATGTTCAAGAGTGTTTCTTTTATTTATCATTGTACATAGTCAAGGTTCAAACCATATTTGCTATTTCAGATAAAAAAAGAGTTTACTGGGTTCAGTAAATTCTGATACTATCAACATATCAAATATAGTGATGGACAAGTTGTAATTAACATGGGCACCATTTACCCATAACATAATCCCCCAATCTACTACTTCTGTCGCAAATTATGCTAGTTGTTACAAGAAATGCACAAAAAGGCAGAGACCCAGACCTTTGGTACACAACGTTACACCAGATATGTAGTCATGCTTGACACAGGTAATCCTTGGCTGGTTAGCAGTCTTCTGGGGTCGCTTTTGCGTAAGCGTTGAGACGGTTTGGATCAGTTCAACCTGCAAGAAAACGCCATATACATTTCACCGAGTTACGTGTGATTTTTTGTTGTTGTATAGCTGAAGATAACTAATTCGGTAAGAGATAAGGACCTGTAAAACAGCAAGAAGGCAGTTTGTTTAGTTGATGTTATTTTATTCCGTCCCAAGTAAAAGTGAAGATTTTACAAATGCAAACATTAATGTAGTATACAATATGCAATACAGTATATGTAATGGACATAATGTAAAGGTGAATTATAAAGAAGTCTACAGCAACATAATGAATATCATCACAACATCTTGGTTGACAGAAACTGAGTAATCAGTAGGGAAAGGTTTAAAATCATGCTGGTGCTGATTAAAAGATAATCCAAAACAAAAACTTATCAAATCATAAAAGATATCAGAGCAATTGACATGAATTGACGTGTCAACTTATTTTGGACAAGATCAGGAAGATATAGGGATTAATCCAAAATACTGCACAATATTTAACATGACAACGTTTTTAGAAGGGGGAATTAACTATGACAAAAGGGGAGATAACTGTGGTAGAGAGATCACTTTGCAGTGAGAGGTATTGGCAATGCCTGAATACTAAGTGACAGCTCCTAATTCAAATATAAAACATTATTAAAAACAAAGAATAATTGCTTTGTAACGTTGTTCAATGACAATGTAACGTTACAGGATTGTTTACATGTGACATCTACTTCCGGTTTATATTGTTACTTTCGGTTGGCAATATTACTTCCGGTATAAACATTTGACTTCCTGTTTACAGTGTTACTTCCTGTGGGCAATCTTACTTCCAGTATAAATATTTGACTTCTGTTTAAGAATTGATACATATTTGGTTATTTTGACAAAGCAATTATATAACAGCTCAAGGAGACTATTGCAAAATAAACTTTCTAAACCATGATTTATAAATTTTCTGTATAGCTAGAAAGCATTTAATAACTGCTAAATTCAAACGTCTCAGTTACCAGCTACATGTAGGGGTATTTATTTCCTTGTTTATACAATGAGTACACCCACTATAATTTCTGGTTTGAACAAATGAATGGGTAACTGTTAGCAATCCATGATTTTGGCACTGATTTACATATAAATCTTAGGTTCAGAAGATATAATCAAAAATAAAAACATAGCAGACATATACCTGTACAATAGGAGACATGTCGAACACAGTGACAAGGTCTGGTGTTGTGAATAAAGGATATTTACATGCGCTTAGCGTGTATATTTTGTCTGTTAAGAATTTTCCTAAATTTACAACACATATATGTAATTACAACACATTTGGAATGCAATGAGCAATAAGACTAATAATATGACATATGTTCTGTTTTAAATTGTAAAATGTATAATGATTAGTATAAAATTTATAAGCAATGTTTACAGTAATGTCTTATATTTCAAAAACTTTGTAAAATATATAACAAGAAATATGACATTGGCTCACCTGTAAAACAGCAAGGAGACAGCTTGTTTAGTTGATGTTTCTTTATTCCGTCCCAAGTAGAAGTGAAAATTTATTTATTTATTTTTTTATTTATTTTTTTGTGGGGGAATACAAGTAATTCAAGGGACTGTCCGTGAAAGTTGAGATTCTGATTGGCTGACCAGTTCGTAGCGCATGCTCAGATTGCTCACAAGTACGCGTGGGTTCTTAACAAACTTTTAGTTACTCAACGCAGTTGTAATGCTCGGTTACGTCACACTGCTTTGTTAGCCCGGCTAATTGAATCTGCTCACCTTGTCAGTATCATATTACAATAGATTTTAGTGAAAATCAGGTCTGGCCGAAATTAATCAAAGTGGCTTAAGCCTTTGTAAATATGTGACATGAGTTATTTATCAATATACTGCTTTTAAGACAGGACGATCAGTACAAAAAGTAAATTTGTATAATGAAATACAGTCTTAGGTTGGTCAAATACAAAAACACTTTAACAAAGATTAGTGGTGAGACATTTCCGGCTTTAACTCAATATACGGGAATTTCCCAGCTAGGGCCTATTATTATTAGAAAAATAAAAATTAATTACCATAAGATATAATAAAATAAAATGTAAGTTTTTAAGAATTGTGGATCTAATTCAAAAGTACTTCCACAATATATATTATAAAAAAGATGAAAAAAAAGTTTCATAAAGGAAAGAAAAAAATGTAAATTTTCCTTATGAAAAACACATGGGGATGGTGGCTTGACGGGGATATTTGGCACGTGCAGATTGAGGGGTCCAGCCGTACCAGTCCAAAATTAGCTTGCTGAATATCATTAGTTTTCAGAAAATCAGCATAAAGCAGGGTCGATTGACGCACATATTTCCGGTAGCATTATACTATTAAGTATAAGTTGAATGGATGGTATCTTATCTTTATCTTTGTTTTATGCTTGAGAGGAAATTAACTTGTACATTTTTAAATTTACACTTATCAGTTCCTACATTCGGTACAAGTGCGTTTGTGTATCGTGGAATTGTTCCAGACCACCGGAACAGTTTCAACCGAGTTACGCAAAAGCGTGGTGATGCTCGTTACTCGGTATCATAACCAAACTTCTCATTTGTAAGTACTTGTGCGGCCTTTCGGAATAATTAAGTCGGCATTTAATTCGAAACTTACATCACCAGCCCAAGTTCAAGTTTTTTTTTTTTTTTTTTTTTTTTTTGTTTTTTTTTTTTGGTGAGATTTCTAATCATCGAGTAAAGAATCTGATCTTCACACAGCCAGGTATCCATGTATTTGCTATTATTAACATTCCTGTTCATAGAGTTATACTAAACCGTTCATTCCTAAGCCGACCAAGCGCTAGAATACCTTATAACCTAACTCTGTCCCGTATACACAAATCAACAAATCTCTTCCGCTATCCTTCAAAACGCGGGAAATATTAATTATCAACATTGGCAAGGAGAGTCGGGAGAGCCTTGAAATCACCTTTGACAATACTAAAGTTTCAGTGTTTAAACACTTCAGACGGCCATGTCTGTTTTGTTCAAATGAAAATTGATTGTATCATTGCCGTCCTTACACTTGTGTAGTAACTTTCATCAAAATCGGACATTTACATTGGCAGCTGTGTCCATCTTAGATTTGGGGAAATGTCTT